GGGGGGGGGGCCTCATATAAAGAGAAGACATTTACTGTAGTAATTATCAGATCTTACATCAACTCTCAAAGTAAACAAGCTAATCGAGTTCATATCATGTAACATGAGACCCCAAAAAAACGCATTTTCCAGCACAAAAATAAGAGTGGAAATGCTACAGAGACTATATAACCCAGAAAAAAAGGCAATAGGCGACGACAAATGAAAAAAGAAATAGCTACACCTTTTACACATTACTACAAGAACGTAGACTAAAATTTCTATTACATATACAAGTTTATATCTTGTATTACATAGTAGATAGATCAACTCATGAGGAACAAGAAAGCATGCCTACACCTGGACGATAAGCCCAGGCTGGAGGTAGGCGGGCGTACTTCTCCATGCCAGGTTGTTCATCAAATGGATGTTGCATAACTTTCAGTAGTCGACGGACTTCCCCAAAATCACCTTGTTCAGCTGCATCAATCGCGCTTTGGCATAGGTAGTTTCTAAGGACGTACTTTGGATTTACAGAATTCATGGAGGCTTTTCTCTCCTCGTCCGATACACCACTAGTAGACAGCTGTAGAGTAGAATAGTGGCTAGTTAAGCATCTCGTATGCAAGAAAGATGTACATCGTAGAGAAAAGTTGGACCAAATGGAGTAAATTGAGCACATATTGTAAACAAGGAGAATGGTTTCGTGCCAGTATCATTGTCGACTGCAGCAATAATACAACCGTTACTTGTACATTTACTTTAAGCTATAGTTCCGACATCCGACTTTTTTCTCTTCTTCTTACTTTAAACTTTTGGCTCCATTTTTACCTCTCTTTTTATGTTTTTGCATCATTAGGGGCCTTCTGTAGTTCAACTGTACCTATTGCTTTTGACTCGAACTACATATACATATAGAAAAAAAAAAGTACAGATTTAATAAGATCAAATGTATCCTAAACTCACTGACTTTAGATCCTGTATGAGGTCGGGGAGAGTAAGGGGGTGGGGCGCAGAGATAGCGAAGCCCTAAAAATAACATAAATCTACAGATGAAGCAGGTTATCTTCTTGGAGAGTAAAATTTGGCATTTCCACCTACAGCAGCCCGTGTCTACGCCTCTACGAGAAACAGTGCAGGTGAGTAAAAAGTTATTCTACAAAATTTAAAAGCATAATAAAATAGCACTCTAGATCCTTATGAACAGGATCACAGTATACCAAGAAAACAGAAACACAAAGCAGAGCACCATTAAAAAAAGATGATATGACTTCGTCGTCATGATTTACAATGTACTATGACTGAGCTCAAGCAGAAGATAATTCCTGATTCAAAATTATACATACCTCCTGTATGTAGGATTTCACCCAGCTTGTCCAAGCTTCCTTGCGTTCCATACCAATATCCAAAAGACCAGCTTTCAGAGGAATCAGTAACTGGTCTGCTGGAATTGTAGGATCGGCCTTGACATTTGATAGTAATCGGAAGAAGTTGGTGTAATCAACTTTATCAACAGCCATATTCTTAAGTAGATCACCAATCATCTGTTTATTGTACTTAGCCAAACCAAGCTTTTTCGTCATGATAGCTTGATAGTCATCCATGAATTTGATACCATACCTAAAAAAGTCAACAGATGAAATGTCAGTCAACAGTAAAAAGATAACGACAAGCTATGGTAGTATTTCATGTCACCTCTCCATGGCATAATTTGACTCCTTATCATTTAGCAACTGTGCAGTAGATAGAGTTTTAGCAAACTGAGCAACATTCCATAAACCTATATCCGGCTGATTTGCAAAACAGTATCTTCTGCCAGGTAGATCAGTGGTATTTGGTGTGAAACTCGGATCAAAAGCATCTAAGAATCCAAAAGGGCCATAATCAATGGTGAGGCCTAACACACTCATGTTATCAGTATTCATCACTCCGTGTGTGAACCCAACACCTTGCCACCTTGCAATCATAGAAGCAGTCCGCTCAGCAACTTCCACCGCCCATGCTGAAAAAATGTACCCATGCATGTGAGAAGAGTAATTTGTGAAGGACTCAAAGTATGCAGCTAAAAATTATTTTTTCCCCAAGTCTGTAACAAGAACACACAATAAATGGCACAGAATATAATGAAAATGAAGTTAGAACTATGTTACGAGAATGCATGCATAAACTCCAGGTCCTATTTTATCTGGATGGTAGAGCATAGCAGATCATCACCAAGACTGCACAAATGGCCAATAAAAAGAATAGTATTATCCCTTTCCACGTGACATGGGAGGACATAAAGGTCCACCTCAGAGACATAAAAATGAGAAGATCGTTAAGAGTTTGCTGAGAATGAAAATACTGAAACCACGGACTACTCATCAAGAGGCAATTACCATCACTCGAATTTAGCACAGGCATTAAAAAATCCATCCCTATATCTACTTCAAGATAACAAATATTAACACATAGTAAGGTAACCAAAAAGTAGTATCTTTTAATGACAAAAAGTACTACTTTTTCTAGATATTAAGCATTTTGGAGTCCGAAAATAGAAGTTCGCCTCAAACTAATCTTATTAGCTGGATTTTAGAAGCCTGGCAGATCATTATCAAACACGCGCAAATGGCCACTAAAACGCATTATATTATCCCTTTTCCACTTACATAGAAGGACATTAAGGACAACTGGCACGGACGCATAAAGATGAGAAGATCATTAAGAGTTTTGCTGACAATGGCAATGTTGAGAAAAGGACTGCTCATCAAGAGGCAATTACGAACACTCTCTTCGGCCAACACTCAATTCAGTATTAAAAAGGAGATCAAATATAGCAAAGACAGATACAATCCACCCCAATATCCACTTCAACACGACCAATATATTTACCTGCATATTTGTTTGAAGTTAAATCCACAGCCGAATCATCTTCTTCGCCTGTGCTGAATGATATGCTTTCGCTCTTGCTCATGTTCTCTAGATGGGGAAAGTGATGTCTAATGGCGTAGTCTGCTAAAGTACGCACAATCTCAAGATCCTTTTTACCCCTAGAGGCATGTAGTTGGTAAGAACCAAAACGCAGGAAGGATTGAGCAACTCTACAGACAATTGCACCGGGCTCATCCTTCGGGTTCCCACTGCATGAGGAAAAACGGAGTCATCAACAGCAGCGGAAACAAAAAC